ATCCTTCCCCGCCCGTGTAAGGTTGGGTTAGAAGGCATGTTGAATTCACCTCTTTGAGCTGTACAAACTCGAATTTTGCATTGGATTGGGAGGTGCCATAAAACCCTAAGTTCAGAGAATTTAATCATTACTATTTGTCGCTGTTTATCGACACCCCATATTTGCTTGGCAGGGCGGCATTTTGCGGTTTCAACCCAGACAACGACGACAACCACCGTCCAGCCTCGATTCCATGGGCACGACACGCGGCTCGAACGACTGACATCGACGATTCAGAAAGTCAGCAAGAAGACAGCCGAGATACCGGATTGGCTTGATTACAAGAGCCACACGTTCTGGTGATCGAGAGACAGGTGAGTCTGGTGCGCGGACCTTGAAAGGTGTGCTGTTAATCGTGAGTTGAAGGTCAGCTGTACAGATCGTTATTTATCAAGTGTGAACGGAAAAAATCATCCACGACGTCCTGGTGACGGAGACTCGGTACCGAGAGCAGAGTGCCAACTGAACACTCTGTTTGTTCGAATTGTGAGTCACTTGTAGGACTTTTCTTACACTCCTTGTGTTGACAGCTACAGCAAGATATTTTATCCATACGCTGTCCCTCTTTCGACCAAGCCAGACTTTTACATACCCGCAACCACTCAGCTAACCAAATGCGATCGACGCCTTTACACAAGTACGAGGAGCTCGACCGTAAAAACATGACGCTCGCGTCCACCGTACAAGGCCCTAGCAAAAGCAGCGGTGGCAGTGGCATAGCAGCCGCATCTATCGCATCACAACTCTCCTCATCCCAACAAACCTCGCAAACGCTCTACATGCCCATCGCATCACCACCTACACCCGCGCCCTCTCCAGGCCCCTACTCTTCCTTCCACACTAATCAACCCCACATCCCATCACGCAACCCTTACTCGCCTGCAAACCCGCTCGTCCGCAGACAATTCCTCACAGATGTTCTCAACAGCTGTACACCCTCCAAGCTCCTTTTCATCTCAACCACCATCGCGCCGCTACTCAAACGGGACTTTTTGTCTTCCCTCCCTGTGGAGTTGGCGATCCATCTTGGGGTTCATCGATCATCGATTATCCGAAGACGCTTGTGCGAGGGGCGCAGGTTAGTCAGTACTGGTGTTCGCTTGTGAGGGACGAATGTGTGTGGAAGAGGATGTGTGTCATCTTTGGATTTGATGATGATTGGTTTTTGGGGGGTGGAGAGACCTTGGGCCACTTGGGAAATATGGCCACCCTTTCCACTTCTTCTCTCCACGCCCCTTCTTTTCTTTCCTTCTACCGTCCCAGCTAACTAACGAGCCACCCCCTCTCAGACAATGCATCCACATCCTTCAAGGGCACACCTCCACCATCCGCGTCTTACACAACCGCCCCATCGCCATCAGTGGCTCTCGCGATGCGACGCTGCGAGTATGGGACGTCCAGAAGGGGAAGTGCCTACGCGTGTTGGAGGGACACCATCAAAGCGTGAGGTGTCTTGATGTGTGTGGGAGGAGGGTTGTTAGTGGGGGTTATGATAATACTTGTCGGGTGGGTGCTTTTTTTTGCTCTTTTTGTTTCTTTGTTTTGGGGTGGAGAGCCCGGTTTTTCTCGAGTCTGTGACTCTTTTTGTTCGGGCTGGCTGGGCATTCGAGAGGGGCTGGTGTCTCTTTTGAGAGCCCGGCTGGCGGTGCGCTTTTTTTGGGCTAGTGGAGTTTTTCCTTGAGCCCAGCTGGTGCCCTTTTTTTTCAAGCTCGGGTGGTGCTCTTTCCTCGAGCCTAGCTGGCGCTCCTTCCTGGCGCTCTAACGCTCTTTCCTCGATCCCAGCTGGCGCTTTTTCATTGAGCCCAGCCGGCGGTCATTCTTCTCTTTGTACCTAATTCAGCTGGCACTCTTCTTCGGAATCCAGCTGGGCTCCTTTCTCAGGTCAAAATGGCCCTCTTTCCTCAAGTCCAGATAGCATTTCTTCAAACAGGCCGAATGAAGCTCTTGCTTCCAGTCCAGATGGCATCTTTCTCCACACCGCAGCTAGTGCTCCTTTCCAATCAATGTTTCTTTTGCTTCACGTGGTGTTCTATCTTTCAGATCGTTCATCTTTCTTTCATTTCAGCTAAACTGTGCTCTTTCTTCGAGTACAGCTGTGGTTCTTTCCCTGCGCCCAGCTGCTCTCTTCTCCACTGCTCTTTCTCCGAGTCCGGAGGGTGCTTTTACTCGAGTCGAGTGAATGCTGATGATGTCGTTTTGTGCATAGGTATGGGACGTGGATACTGGCGAATGCATCCATGTCCTCGAGGGGCATTTCCACCAGATATACAGCGTCGCTTTCGATGGTGTGAGGACCGCTTCGGGAGGACTGGACATGACCGTTCGCGTCTGCGCTGCTGCTACGGGGTGTGTATCTCTTCCTTCTCTCTCGACATGCAACTAACGATTGCATGACAGCGAATGTCTGGCCCTCCTGCAAGGCCACACTGCTCAGGTCTGCCAACTCCAACCTGCGTCATTCATGCCCCCATCCAGCCCTTCTTCTCCCCCCATCCCAATCCTCGCAACAGGTGGGTCCGATGGGCGGGTCATCATGTTCTCCCTGGCAACATACACCATCCTGTACCATATTGCCGCACACGACTCTTCCGTCACCTCGTTGCAATTCGATAAATGGTGGCTGGTGATGGGTGGGAACGATGGGTGGTTGAGGTTGTTTGAGACGGAGATGGGGAATCATGTGCGGGATTTGAGTGAGCCGGGGGAGAGTGTTTGGAAAGTCGTGTTTGGACGGGATGTTTGTGCAGTTATGTGTAAGAGAGCGGGGAGGAGCGTTACAGAGATCTGGAGCTTGAGGGGGATGTTAGGACGGGGTGGGTGATAAAGGGCGGTGGGTTTGTAAAGGGGAGGAAATGAGCTGGTTATGTTGTTATTGGGACCTTCGAGGGTGATTGTTCGTATCTCAT